GGGGAAGCCGAATCGCTTTCCCGGGAAACAAATCCGTTCGGTACGCAGATGAGGCCGCGAACGATCCGCAACTGTGTGCGAAGTGGAGGAGTATCGGGATCTTCGGAATCGTTACCGCTGTTTCTGACAGCTGGACGCTGACAAGAGGGACGGACAGACGGTAGTGCGCTACAGCAGCTGCAGTGTTTGCGAATACTCGATGGTTCGTTTGTGTTCTTTAGCAGTTTATTCGTAGCTTTTTCAAGCTGTACACGACACGGGCAAATTCTTATATTTACTATGAATAAGAGGAAAAAAAAAAAAATGAAGGCGAAAGGAGAAAGAGCGAGAAACAGAGGAGGAGACGGATTGGTGGAGAGGCGAAAGCAATATTGAGTTTGATCTTGTATCACACAAATCTTGCCTTAACCAATACTGTATCCAGCACTAACAATAAGTATTCATGTTCATATCCAATACTTCAGTATGTTCCGTTCGGTATGTATTATACATTCGGTGAATCGTAAAAATAAGTTTCATTTAACGTACAAAGATAAAACGTAAATCCAGTATAAATGAGCAAAAGGGGGAAACACTATCAAAGTTTACGATAACGAAAAAAAAAAAAATTAAGTAGAAAATTCTTGGTATGAGAAAATACGTTGTGTGCAATGAATGCATTATAAATCACTCAATTATCGGTTAATATTTTTGTTATAATAAGTAGATTTTTCCAATGGCTACATTGTAATTTTATCAAGTCTTCTGTCGAGAGAGAGAGAGAGAGAGAGACGTCCATTCACAGAGACAAACAATTTATTTAATTTTTGTTTTCAGACGATTCAAATAACAAGTGCTTACTTGTCAAATGTTAATTGGTTCAGTTTTGCCATGTTTTTCGTGTTATTTAATTCTGTGTGAATTTTCATCAATATCCGAGACTTGCAATATTTGATTTCTTATAATAGAATAGTTGACAGTTGCATGTGTATTTTCGAATTCTCGAAATATATGAGGACGCGAAGCTTAATAACGGAAGAGGTTGTAAACGATTCTACGAAAAAAAAAAATAAACATTGTGATTGCAGGATGAGTTCCATCCATTTATTGAGGCTCTCCTACCGTTCGTGAAGTCTTTTTCGTACACATGGTTCAACCTACAAGCTGCCAAGAGACGATACTATAAGAAACATGAAAAGCGGATGAGCTTGGAAGAGGAACGCCAGTGTAAGGAGGAACTCCAGGTGAGTGATTCTTCGAGATTCGTTCAGCCGCACTTAAATCACGCAAATTGAATAAGTCAGTTTTTGTTCACCGGCAATTAACGCAAGGCAAGGATTGCATTATGCATCGGATTATCCATCGTTTTCCATGGAGTTTTTCTAAATTTCTAAATCCCCATCAATCCGTGCGTCGTGTCCATTCGATGATAGCAACGGTTGAACGTGCTATCGTCGGTAATGCTATCGGCCCGTTGCTTCTCTACCGTAATTCCCATCCTCCTCCCTCGCGACAGCGTTCGATCAATATTTTAATTTCGCGATGTTGCGGTATTTAGCGGAGAAGAGAGAGAGCGAGCGGCTGGCATTAACTGGCGCATAGGCGAATTCTTCTTTTTTCTCTATTTTCCGGCATTTTCATTTTACTTCGCGATGCATCTAAAGAATGAGTCTCACGCAGATTCACATTGCTAATTGCAAATGAAACGGACAAAAGCCTCTTTATATTCGACCAAGTTCCGCGTAGAGAAACGGAAGCGGCTCCCGGAGCAGAGCGTCGGATCGAAAATTTCACCCAAATTACGTTTAAATTCATTTCGCGAGAAATCGCTTGGCTCCGTAAACGAATGTGAATGAAAGTAGAAGGTCATTGGCCATGTCTCCTGTATGTATGAATACTGGCATGATGCGGTAGAGCGATGCGACTGCATTTCACACATCAAGAAGTCGTACGACACGTTGTTTTGTTTTCTTCTTTTCTTTTAAAGCTCCCCCTAGAGACGATTCAGTGGATATGGTAGATATTGCTCCGACATAGTTTACTTTGCGGCGCGCGGAGTAAAACAAGCGTAACGATGTTCTGTTTTCTCGAGTCTCCGTTTTTTTTTTATTTCGTAAATACAGCATAGAAGAAAATGATTCAACTAACATAGAAATGCAATTGTTTGCTCAAGAACTTAAACGAAAGTATATGATTAATATTTCATGAGAAATATAAGTATCTTTCGCTTATAAGCATTGACAGAAATATTTTCGGATCGAGCAATGTAAGATGTATGAGCCGTACGATAGAATTTCGTCTAAATGTTAAATCAAACTTGTGTTTCCGAATAAGTAAAGATGAGAACGTACTAAAAAAAGATGACAAAGTTGATGAAAAGAAAACATGTCGAATAGAGAGGAAGAATTTTCGAGTTCGCTTTATCGCATTGAGAAATTTCGCGATTTTTACGTAAATCCGTAATCCAGATTTAATTAAAAATAGTATATATAAGAGTATTATCAGCTCAACTCAAGTGTCTTTAGAAAGTGTGGAGGTATATCTTCGCGAGATACCTTCATGTTCCATTTGCTATTTGGGCTCTGTCGTCAACTTGTCAATCTATGTTCGTTTCGACCGTAGGCACGGCGCATTAATATACGTTAGAGAGAGGAATTCGGGAATAAAGGGACGCGAATGGAAAACAACGGGAGATACGAGCCAGACTACGTGCGCGGACGAGTCTGTCGTTTTCTCTTAATTTCGAGACAGACCGCAGTACGATATCGACTACTTCAATTCGGGTGTAGGGCAACGCTGCGAGGGACCGGGACGAGCGAGCGAGCGGCAGTACGAGTGAAAGAGGCGGAAAGTCAGAGCGAAAGAAGGAGAATGTGAGCAATGGACGGATAGACGGGGATAAACCGGAACGAGGGAGGGTGGCGACGGGGGGGAGGAGGAGGTGGAGGAGGAGGAGGAGGAGGAGGAGGGACGGGGGTGGCGCGGTTCGGCGCGACCCGGCGCGTCGCGCTCGTAAGAGGAAGGAAGAGCATACGTATGCGAGAGGAGTGCATGCAGCTCGACGGAGGGTTGGAAGGGTTTCCGTGGTGGATCGAGAGTGCCGGTTGCGGGAGGGGGAGGCGAAACGGTCGGGAGAGAATCGGGAGGAAGCGGGGCGAGGGAGTGCGGGAGCCACCAACACCTACGAGAAGTATCCGCTACACGAGTGGTGCACACCAACTTTTCGGCAACCGGGGGATGAGTCGAAAGAGGGTGGGATGGCCGGTTCGCGGGGGTTGACGGAAGGAGGCGGGAGTGAGAGGAGGGAGGGGGAGGGAAGGCGGGGGAACGGTCGAAAAATGGGTGTCGGGGAGGACGTAGACATGTAGCGCATACGCCGTCGCGACGGAGGCTGCGGCTACGCGGCGCCTACCAACCACCATCTATAATCTCTATGCAGATATCGATTTTCCTACCCTGTATTTCCTAAATTTATGCAAACTAGCAGCGTACTACTACCTTTCCACCCTTCCGCTCGTCGCTCGCATTGTCACCTCTTTCGCCTCGTTAGCCCGACTGCACATAGCGCGACTGCAAAATCCCTTTAATATGTTTTGTACCGCCGCGCGCCGTCATCTGTCTAAAGAGAATAATAGCCGATTTTATCCGCATCTGTATTCAAATGACCGCTGTGCCGAGATATTAACCAGCTATCCATTTCCATACTCGATATTCTCAATTTTATGAAGTGTTAAAAGGCAATTTCCGTATATTTGTCATTTATTATTCGTCCATTAATCGATGTGTGTTTTGTTACTTGTGCGGATAATTAGCAGATAATTTCAATGAAATAAAGCGCTATCGTACTACAGGACTTTTCTATGTGCATTTCTCAGATATACTTATTTTAATTTTCATATAAATATCGAAACGCGTAAGCGTGATTTCTCGCATCGTTTCTTTGCGAAGAGACTCGAAGGAATCGCGAATGATCACACATCGAATCGTCTCAAATATCGCCAAAACAAATACGGCGCGGAAAGCTTGGATTGTTCAACTTATCTCGAAATTCGATATACGCGTCATTTTACGGCTATTGAACGAGAAACCTAGATTGCGAACTATCTGTACTAAAAGCTCTCACCGAGAGCTTGACAGGGATGTAAAATAAAAGTGTTGGTTCTCTCAAATGGACAAGCATGAGCTGATAAGAGTATCAAAAGTCGTACATCGCAAGTTTTACTTCGGCATTTGGTGGCGTGGATTCAGAGAAGATAGGATGTCCTTATGGGCCGACTCTCTCGAGAGGCTATAATATTTACAACATTCTGCGTAGACCTCGGAATTGCCTATAAAGAAATCGCGGAGTCGCTTTGTTCGCGTCATAACGTAGTAACGTAAAGGGTCGGCGGATATACATGGGCCGGGAAGCTTGCCAAATTAATAAATATATTCCCAGTCTCCACCCCGCTTGGAATTTTCTTCGTTCTATTCCGCGTATCTAGTCTTACCACTGAACGACAAGTCACCCCCGACTGATGTAGCTTCAAAGCGTCGCTTTGATTTCATTCTGACTTACGCGAATGCTGCGCGACGACAGAGAGATTTCTCTTTCCTATTCGTGCACAATTACACAGTAATTATTATACGTGCAGATAACGTTTTGGTCTTTTATAAAAAAAAAATCTCTTGTTCCCTCCATCTTTCTATTTTTTTCTCTCTTTCTCATCATTTCGTCTTCGCTGAATTTTTGAAAACAACTGCGTATTGCAATTCAACTCTCTTGACGCCAATCACTTCCTTGAACTCAATTTTCCCATCTTCAATGAATTAAATCCTCGTAAACATAACTCGTGAGGTTTTCGAGTTCTTATAACGTCGGACGAATATTAATGCGCTGTTAACAAGCGACGAAGTGCTCAGATAAAGCGATGTGTCCGTCAGACTATGACAGAATATTAGTGTATATTTCTGGAATTATGCGCGCGAGAAAAAAAAGAGAAAAAAAGAAAAGAAGGGAGAGTGTCAGTGTGTCAGTCATATTTAATCTGAAATAAATTGGCAGCAGCTGTCGCGACAGGTGTCGCCGCACTTATTCGCCAAATAAGATCAGGAATGACACATCTAATTTATCTCGCCTAGCAAAATACTCAATGCAAAATAAAAACAATTTGCGATGTATCTTCGGTGGCGTCACTGTCTTCTTTTGCCGTACAATTGTGGCGATAGAGCCAAAATAGGAGGGGTGAGATCGCGGCGTGTGAAATTGCTAACGCGAGCAAGTCATCCGGCGAGCAACCTGCCGCGCCTTGCGATAGCACGTACGCATGTCACGATGTATGCACTCTCGATACAATTCCCGTGAACACACGGCTCTCTTTCGCATTCGGCATACTTGATATCCGAGTATACGCAGGATGCACCGTAAGCGCGATGCGCTTTCTCCGCCGTGGCGCGGCGCACCAGAGCAAAAATCGCGAATGCACTCTTATCCGCTTTATTCGCGAGTGCGCGAGGGCGCGTGCAAGAACGTGCCTGACATTTTATTCGGGCGGAAATGTCGGAATGTCGATGTGTGCGACGGTACACGCATACGTTCTAACCACTCTTCGCCTGACAGTCATTACGGTAAATCCGAACGATCGTCAATTTACTGCACTTAATTGCGGATGCTTGCTGCCAATTAAACTGACTGCCAACTTTAAGAATCGCATAATAGCAACTGTATTTTAAATTATTAATTCATTGCGCAATAGATATATCAATTTTTGCCGCTTACAATTAGTTTTATGAGGATATCTCGTATAAATCGGTTTTTATAAAAGCCAATCACCGCCGATATTTGTCTAGTTGCATTCATCGTGGCATATAAAGTTGTGCTAAGGAATATTTGTGACTATTAGCGTTATTCATACGCGAAATGCGACTGTGATGCTTGGCAAGTTCGAACGCGTGAACTAGAGAGGTCTTTCGCCGAAGTTGTACGAAGCGAAGTGCACGGACGCGTCGGTACGTGCGCAGCAAAACGGGCTAGGCGAGATAGATCGCGCGCAGTACTCCGATGCATTCCACGCACTTTCAATGCATTTCTCAGGGATCTTATGCATGCGTGTATTTGCTATTCCGAGTGTGACGAGGGTCGCACGCGTGCGCTGCATATCGCTCGCCGAAAGACGTCCCTCTTCGAGATTGTCGCTAGCCGCTATTCTCTCTCGCTCGGGACATGCAAAACTTTATACAAACTCGACGAAATTTTTAGATCGGACGCTGCTCGAACACCACTGGAATATGTTTTCCAATCGTTCTTCTACACATCAAAACGAGATAAGACTAAATCCGACTACGTGAATAGTACTTTCAATTTATCTTGTCTAAATATATCAATTTTTAATTTCGCCGAATAAGAATATTTTAACTACCGCTCAATTAAAGGAAATATGTGCAAGCATTCTATTATCAACGATAAACAACAATGGCGTATGAATCGCTAATGAATAATCGTGACCTCTTGTTTGCGAGGTACATTACAATGCCTTTCCATTCCTCAGAACGAGAAGCTGGAAGTAAAACAGAAATGGGCCTCGCGGCTTCTTGGCAAGTTACGGAAGGATATCACGCAAGAATACCGGGAGGACTTTGTACTGAGTATTACGGGAAAGAGACCAGCAATGTGCGTTCTGAGCAATCCTGATCAGAAGGGCAAAATGCGTCGGATCGATTGCCTTCGTCAGGCGGACAAGGTACGTCGATCGAACTTACGCGTTCATCCCGCTAGAATCGACTCGATTTCATTTATTCGTTTTTTTTTTTTTTTAATTCCAACAACTCGCTTTTCTCTTTCATCGAACAGAAGAAACGAAAGGTGTTATTATCGAACGTTTGATTTCTTTTGCGATAGGTATGGAGGTTGGACCTAGTTATGGTGATCCTTTTCAAGGCGATTCCGTTGGAATCGACGGACGGGGAACGACTGGAGAAGACTGCGGAATGCGCGCAGCCCGGACTCTGCGTCAATCCTTATCACATCAACGTCTCCGTCCGAGAATTGGATCTTTATCTCGCCAATTTTATCACGAGTCACGGTAAGAGTGATAAACGATAAGGACGCGCGACCGAGTGTCGATTCGCGCGGGCTCTCGCTTCGGGACTCACAATTAGGCGCGATCTAATCCGGGAGATGGTTCGAGAAAGCGAAAACATAGCATTGATGTTTACATTAACTGCACATTGCGCAAATACCTATTTATACGTATTCTACAAATATATTATATTGCACAGTAACAAATGCCGTTGAAAAGCGTCATGTAACACTCGATGCGTAAAAACATACTTCGATCGAGCGTGTTATTAAACTTCGCGAAGTTATAACGAAATTTTGACATTTAGGATGATGCGGAGACGCGGAGTCACGCAATCAAGCTATTAAAAGGACAACGCAGCATTTCTCGTTTGAATTTTCCAAAATAGTTAACTGAAACGAAACGGTATCGTGTAGCAACGCGGACACCTGTCTTCTGTCTAACACTTTCATAGAGGATGATGGTACTTGCGCAATTAACAGAACAATGATTAATTCTTGGAATAAATATAGCTACTACTCAGCTATAGCTTCGATTCAATTTTTAATGCGCCAAAACACACACTTTAGAAAACAAGTGTTAGCGAACAGTGTTTTAAAAACAGCATTGGCAAATATAAAAGTCATTGCTAATTTACTCTTCTCATTTTTTTAAAGTTATTTTTTTGTATTTGTTACCTAATTAATCCGAATGTAATTTATTTAACAAATGTAAGAAGTAGAAAAATCTCACAGAATTCAAGAAGATTCATGAAAAGGGGAGCAATCCCACACGTCTTCCGTGTCACGAAGCGACCTTTCTCGCGGTTCCTGGTGCTTCGAATATTTGTATCAGCAATATTCGTATATATGAATGTCTACGCGTGTCATATTATTATTGCATGTTACTGTGTACGTGTCTCTCCCCCCCTCTCTCTCTCTCTCTCTCTCTCTCTCTCTCTCTCTCGTCTTACGTCTTCGCATCGACGCGAGCAGTGTGCCGAATGAACGTGTGGAGAAAATGTGCACGCAAGCGCGTGACCATGCTTGCCGCTGTATGCTCGCTCTATAAATAAATAGGCAACGGACATCTTTAGCGAGCTCACAGAGCTTCGCTTATACGTTGATTTTCTTTCATGCCACTGAAAATACCTGAATATTCTTGTACCTGTGAAGGAATCGTTGCACGTCATTTCGATTGATTTTCGAATGCCGAAAACGATACACCCGTTGCATTTAAAGAGAGATATACGCGCATTGGATAGCTATGAATCTCGAGTAAAGAGAGAGAGAGAGAGAGAAGAAAAGAGAGAGATTAAATTTTGCAAAGAAATTATTATTTGTTTAAAGAATAAATTCTGATCAGTGTTTTCATTATAATTTTCAATAGTTCGCGATTTAGCTAGGAAATTCCGTCTTTTTCGTGCAACAAAGGAAGCACATCTCACTAAGTCGCACAATTCTAACAAAATTTCACACACTTTTGTCCTGTATTTTATTTGAAACTAATTATATAAAATACTTCCAAATGTGCCTTCAAGATATATGTAATTTTAGAATTTATTAAATATTGCATATCTGATTATCGCTTGTAAAAGAGCGGCGCAAACCTTTTCTTTTAATACACGCGACGCAATCAGATATTTGAAATCTTAATGTGAGTCTTCGCTCTTTTTTTTATTTTGCTTACTATTTGCAACCTGAATAATAAAACACAAGTTTCTATCGGTGTAGAAAGCAGCTCTTTACCCCTCTCAATCCTCGAGAAATCGCTGTACATTCCGGACCCTCGAGTATTTCGGTGATACGTTGCGTAATGAGATTTGCGTAAAACGCCGGTGGTATAAAACGCGGTGCAACAGCGAAAATGTTACGCGCTTTTCACCGAAAGAATAATTGCGCAAATTTCTCCAATTAAGCGCGACGTTTCGCAATATCGAGATATTCAACTTCTGGAAAACAAAATACCGTGGAAAAGAACGAAACGCGCTCTAATTATTCTGAACGAATCGCTCTACATTAATTCATCGAATTTGCCGTATTTTTTTCTGTTATAGAAGTTCTGAATGGCATCTGTAACGCTAGCAAGGAGGAGGACAGGCGTCGAAAAGGTACTCACGCAATTTCGCGGTTTACACTCGCATAATTATATTAATTTTGTTCATTTATAGTAGCTCATTGACGCATTTCTTTTCTTTTTTTTTTTTTGGTTGGATAATTTTTTATACACGCACATCCGAACTCGTTAGTATTAGATCGCGGTTCGGAGCGGATATTAAATATTGTTCGCTGGGTTTTGTTCCCAGGTACAGGATACCACGAACTATATAACGGTGTTGTCTGCAATGACACGATCCTCGCGACAGGTGTCTTCAGCTCCAAAGAGCTCTGGATGCTTTCAAAAGGTACGACGCTACAATTTCTCACAAATTCGAACTCAAATTCTTCCACTGATATTGCATGCAACGGATTTCGTTAGACGTACGCGATATACGTATCTCACGTGTCTGTGTCACGCGAAATTTTATATTCGGCTCTGGATTAACATTCTGTCAAGATTCATTCGCGGTAATTTGTGGATGCTTTCGAAAGGTGGCGAATGGCTGAATGCAATAGACCTTTTGAAAGCATCCTGATAAATAAGAACGTCGGTGTATTTCTTCTTGAATTGCGCTACTCTGTTTAATCCGCAAGAAACACGATGTATTATTATGTATCAAGATATGTTAAACATATGACAAAACGCTTTGAACTCTGCGACGGGCCGTTACTCTTTTGGAAAGGATATACGTGAGTTTTCGGCGTGGACTCATCATTGGCAATCTCAATAATAACAAGCAGTTCTGAATGGCAATACGCCATTCGTTAGAAATCGAACGTACAATCATTACAAACGTAAATAATTCGATTCAATTTTTGCATTTAATATTTTCTCATTCAAGACGCGTGGCCATGTTAGATGAAATCAATTAATCATACATCGATTGTCTTTTGTTATATTTCAGTATGCTAGAATTTTTCGTGTTCCGCAGATTGATGCGCATTACGTGCATTTTACGCAGCAGTTAAAGGAACCGCTTTGTTTTCGCGAATAATTCCTTGGGTTTATGCTTATTAAAAGTAGAGACTTCCTCTTTCGTTTTTCCCTTTCTTTTTAGCGCGGAAGCGCCGTTTTCGCGATTATACCGAAGAGTGCAACGAAAATGAGTGACACACGTACGAACGCGCTGAGGAATCGTAGCTGCTAATGTGTGTCTGGTTTCAGCGTCCATACTGCATGACCTCAGCGACATGCAGCCTCAAATAAACGCGATCAAAATAGAGCACCCGCCGTACTACTGCAGCAGCTACACCCCTCCATCCGCAGCCACGACCGCGGATCACGTTCAGCCGGCGGCTAGCTTTAGTGAGTTTCAAAATCTGCCTTTGCCCTTATTTTTAGTAGACAGAGTCGGGGTCGAACGGTAGCCGCGGCGTCGTCCGTGTCCGAAGCTCGCTAAACTAGTTCACGTCGCATAAGCGGAAAAGGACTCGAGCGCGGAAATTATTTATTCAATCCAATCCGTTGTGTCAACTTTGTCCTTTTAAATCGATGGAAAACTTTTATCCATATCTTCCCGCATTTATATATCGACTACAGATATAAATAAAATCATATATTTTCTGGTTTATTATTAATTTTCGAATTTTTATCTTTTCTCCCCGAATATGTTCTATTTTACGTTTGTATTTTTCTTCACTTTTTCGATCAACTATGTAAAAGAAAAATCGCGCGAATAATCCCGCTCGGCAAAATAGAGGACGATGTCAATCGAGGAGGAGATAGACAAAATTTACAATCAAAATAAAATGACCACTCTCTCGAGCGTGATATATGCACGGAAAAATTTCAGCAATAAGCATATCTGGATCAATGCCAACTGCATTGTCGTTTTTTTATCTTTTTTTATTGTACATACGTTTCTCTTTATATTAACGGCGGAATGGAGCATGCAATCGTATCGTACGTTGTTCTTAACATAATGGTAATATCGTAAATAATAATTCAACAGTTGCGGCATTTAAAAGTTGAACAATACATTCCGACGAATAAAACTGCTCTACTATAAGATTGTTGTTACATGTCTTTTTCTCATTGCTACATTTAGATTTAGACAGTGATTTCGTTTGACGTTACCGTCGACATCCGGAGCGGTGCATTGCCCGTTGATTTATCGCTTGGAAAACCATGTGGATTATTTTATGCGCAGGCCCACCACCGGTTCATCAATTAATAAGGAACGATAAGACTGACAAGCCGCCGACAGTCTCGGTTTCGAGCGCGCCGACGTTCTCGTCGGTTCTTAGGCCAGAGGATGGGCATCGTGGAATAGAATCACCGCATTCGCAAACGGGTATGTATTCGCCGGTTTTCAGACTTACGAATCGTCTACTTCATGACGCTGCGAATTACTCGAATCTGGCTCCTGTCCGGTAATTTGCATGAGGGAGGGGTGTGCGAGACATCTGCATATTCTAATACTATGAAGATCGAGTACAGTTGCTACAGTTTTGCCGCCATAAAACTAGGCGATACGTTCTTTTTTCCAAAAATCATTTTTTCTTTTCACGAATCAGATATCGTAGAAAGAATACTTTTTTTTTTACGAGCAATTTTTTCATATAAATTTCTAAAGTCAGCCACATCTTGAATCGAGACGAAGAAATATCGTCTGAAATGAGAAAATATACGTGGACAATTCTCGTATTAGACAAAACCGCTTTAGTTTAATATAAATGCAAGCCAGGAAAAGATACAAATCTCTGCTATATAACACCTCGCATCTCTTAAAGCTGACAGAAACTTTAACTACGTTCCGGAATATTGTTTGAAGAATTTTATAATGTATTCATAAGTCTGTTTTATCAAGCTAAAGCGGTTATATTAACGAGATACTTAAGTCGCGCAAAAAAATCGCTTTTGTGTATTTTCTCGCTTCGAACATTGTAATTTATAAGATAGTTAATATAAACATCTTTAAAATCACGAACGGTAGCAAACAGGATTTTTTATATCACCTTTGAGCAGCCACAATTTCCGTGCAGACTGCTTCTAGAAGTCTTTGAATGATTTAAATGAAGTATTTTAAGGAAAAAAAAAATTATTTCTTTTCTTGCGGATAGGACCCAGACTAAGATATGTGACGAATAACGTGTGTGTATTGCGTTAGTAAGTATATTTCTGTAGAGGTGTTGATTTTTTCGATACTAGAAACTTTCGCACCTTTGATTACAATTTGCAAAACGAAGATATTACGAGTCATCAACGAGCGACATATCAACATACCTTCGTACCATCGAACTCGCGATGTCTCTTATCGAGGTACGCTGTTACCCTCTAAGACACGACACGATTTTTAATTTCTTTCACCATTATTTTTTTCTCTCTTTCTTTCCTGCCCTCAATATCTCTCTCCTCCACCCTCTGTCTCTCTTTCTCTCTCTCTCTTTCTCTTTGTCTCCCGCGTGCGTGCACGGCTCTGCGGCGCATGTTTGGCGACCAGTAATTTTAACTAGTCAACTAACACGCATCTGAGATGCCGAACTTTGTCAAGTCGGCCATGCTTTCAAAGCCATCAGTGCGCTTCACGTCAAGTATAAGAATCAGATTAATATTTCATCAATGACTAATTATTATATGTATCGCGATCGATATATGTATATATCGATGGGCGATTACGTGTTACTCTTTCAATACGCTATTTTTTTTTCATGCGTCTGTTACGCAATATGTACTTCTACATACATACTTTTAAAAATGTCGATTAAAGAAGTTTCACTAAATATTTTCAATGTTTAGTGCGAGATGAACCTAAGTTAAAATTAGTGCATCAAGTGGATGAGTCGATGTGTAATGAAAAAAGAAATACTATCGCGAAGTTTTCGATCGTCTCTCCAGTTTATAATTATTCGCATGAAGCTCATATTAATCTTTCAAAATGCAAACATTTCCGCACATGCGTTTATTTGCAATCGTGTAACATATACATAACATTTGTCACTGATGTCCAATTGATATGGCAATCAATATGTTAACGATCATTGTTCTACATCCAGAAAGATATCTGTACGAAGACGATATAGGCATTATGTTTTCATAAATAATCGAATTTTCAGGCGAGAAAGGCTGACCGATATTATACTGGTACTAATCACATATATATAAATAATAAAATATATAGAAAATATACCAATATGTATTTACTAGTCACACATCTACTAGAAGTCATTCGATATTAAAAGCCAAATAAAAAATGCAGTGGCTTTTTTATTATCTTAGATATCAATATTTTTTGAATATAGATAATAAAATACTGAAAAATTTGGTCCATTTAATATTTGATTCGAAAACACAAATAATTAAAAAATCATATTGCTTTATTCATTTCGATTGATAATTTTCCTTTGAAAGTTAATTGTTGTTGAAATAATTAATATTATAGATTAAAAAATGATGGCTAAGATCTCGAAATCAAATAATTCAAAATTATCGAATAAAGAAACGGCCATTAAAATATATAGCAGCTTTGGCACACATTCTCAATACATAATTATATTTATATACATATCTGACGTTATATATATATATATCGTAATTGTATACTACGTAGAAATTACACGACGCGTGTTCGTCGCAACGAGTGAGAGACGAGTAACATTAAATGATCACAATGCAAATTTACACGTATCGGTTGCAAGTAATTTTCGCATTTATCTTTTACCACTTTTACTGACAAGGCAGATTTATCGGGTTACTAATTCTATCGATATCTTAAAACCTCTCGATCTATCAACCTATAAAGCTATCCAACCTACCTACCAATCAACGACTTGGTGTTAATGAATCGCGTTAAAAATGACGCGTCATGATGTCTGTTTCAGTCTGACCCTGAGTGTAGAGAGAAGCTCGCTAACTCGACTAAAAGGTACTTTGTGACTGGTTATTGACTGTTGTCTTTTCCTCTCTCTCTCTATATATTTCTCTCTATCTCTCTCTCTCTCTTTCTATATGTATATGTATGTATACACACACTTGTACGCACGCGACTGTTTATCATTGTACGCGCCATACACATTACGGGACCATTATTTGTTAACTGCATCGCAAGAGAATGGAAGATTGTAAATTGCATATTCTCAGATTCTACGCTTGTATCAACTAGCACGACACGTTTACATTGTGTTAGATATAAAACTTGACATTAAGAATTATCGAGATTACCTTACGTTCAACCAAGCTTGTATTAATCGTTTCCAATTTCCAATCTATTCTATCTTTGATAATAAATAATAAGATCATCCACGCAAGTGTGCCTACTGTCCGGATATACCGTCGTGAGAATTGCGCGTATCTGGGAAAATTACCAGATTCATATGGGGCATATAAATTCTCAATGAAGAAATAATCATTGCCAAGAGTAGGGCCTTGAAATAGTCGTCAAATGAGTCGAAAATCTGTGTTGTGGATTGGTAGGTGTTTACATTTGCATAGTCGTAAGTACTGTTCTGTGCATTAAAAGTACATCCGAATATCCCTCGTCATGTGGGATTTGCTTACATTATAAACTGTTATAAACATCGTCAACCTCCCCTGAACATACGCTCCAATTTTCTCATCAAGAATCAACTCTGTAAATTTACTACTGCAAATACCTCCTATCTTTCATTTTCTCTCTCTTTTTTTGACTCCATAATTACCATTTAATTATTTCGTTGCTCGCAATTTTTGCGTATTCTCAATTAAGTACTCAGGAAGAATATTATTCTAGAGCACAGTAAATTACTGTTATCCACGTATTCTCTCTTTTTTTTTCTCCTCTTTTATTAATCATTTATTCAACTACTTATATATCTTTCTATTTCATCTCTGTTTATGCGTAATTCGAACGTATCACACTAATGTATTGATGGTGGGGTTTTACACAACTGAGCTTCCTTTGAGATTTATGGATTGACGCACGCGATTACTTCGAAAATTTACATAGGATTCAATGCATAAGCTGGAAGTTTGAAAATTACTCCATTGAAGCTTCTGGTGGTTTATACTCATAACAATTCTGCTTTTCAAATATATATTACAAAAAATTAGAATGTTTATTTTTTATATATACTAAAGATTTGACTGTAAACCTTTTCCTTCCATTAAAAGAAATTACATTTTACGCGCTGAACGTATCACTTGATGTTCTCCATTTTTTGTCGAAGTAATTATTTTCTTTTCCGCGCTTTATTTATTTTATATATACACATATGTATATACATCCATCATCGTAGCATTTTCTCTTTGTTATTATTCGCAGACAGAACATCATAAATAGAGAAACACGATCCTAATCAACCTTTCATTTACAATAACGCCTAATTCCCTGACGTTCGGATCGAAACCCGATATATCGCATACAGGAACAAGATAATTAGTGAGAAACGTTTTTTTTTTTTGAGATATAATAGACAGGATAAAATAGGAAAGAGAGAAGAAGCGCATGAAAAGAAGCCGTCGTAGTACGAAACAAATATTTTTCCTTCATTTTATGGATGTCTTTAGCACTTAAGTAGCACTAAAAAGAAACGAATAATATTATTAAACGGGAAATCGAATGACTTGGGAGTCAAACATAATTACGTGAATTAATCCAAGACCCTCTGTTTATCAGGCAAGTCCTCCTTAGTGCGAGAAATCAGCCTGACGTCTGATTGCGATATGGTAAAACGCTTGCGCTCATGGTCGCAAGAATGTTATGTTAGCACTAATGACAATATATGTGTTAGATCGGTGTTGCATCATACTGTGCTCCTTACCTATATACATATATACATATATATCCGCCTGCAGCTATGTGCACGATCGTTGGTGCGATACTTCCATTGACTGCTAAGCCGAAAATGGACCGTTCTATCTCTCGTCTACACTTTCTTTCGCTACCGTCGCCGAACGGTAACGAAACAGAGCGATACTTTTAATTTCCAATATATATTCTAGCATATGTGTTATAAGTTGGGTAATAACTCATTCACGAGCGAATTTATTCAGCTCGTTGCATATACATAAAAAAATATGTATATATATGCATATAAATATATTGATTAAAAGAAAATGACGGAATTTACCAGCGTTAAAAATCGCTGAGACATGCACATATGTGTACTGTGACTCATCGTAAATTCAATAGTGGTACCCGAACCAATAGTACGTCCTGACAATCTCTACGACACGTTACACCCTTTTCCCTCGTATCGATTCTGCGACTATCGGATCGGTCTTGCTTGCAAGCCGTCTTCGCGCGCGGAACAAGTCATGCGAAGGTTTTACTCGCTGAAGGCTTGGAACGATTAAGTAGTACGATCGCGACTAGTCCGACTAGTCAGATCTATGCTTACTCTAAACTCGACAACGTTACGCCGCGTATCATGCCGTCTCTCCTTTAACGAGATTTGTCTCCCCCCTTTCCTTCTCTTTTTAATACAAATGATCACAATACGGTCAACAAATAAGACTACAAAGTAAAATATATATATATACATTATTTGTTATCTAACTTTGAACACAAAAAAAAAACAATATGACGTTAAAAAAAAGTGAAACGGTTTAAGAGTATCGACATAGTGGTCTCTCGTTTTCCATACGGTATATATTTTTATCATCTATGTATGTATTGTCATATATATATATATATATATATATATCTGCATATAATAATTCTCTTTATAAAGTTCTTTGCCTGTCCGTCTGACCGATCTGCCTGTTAACGGCCGCCTAATTTGAATTAAAAAATGGTTACTTCTTATAATCAAGAGTAATTATTTCCTCGTTACTCCCTAACTAAGTTTCTTATAACACTTGGAAGCATCATCTGTATTATGCAGTAAAGGCAGATATAGTGGTTGGAAACGGGTGGATAAACAGACGGACGGCCTTTCTTGCTAAATGCGTAGTACGGTCTACCTAGCAAGCTAGTTGTTGCTGTCTGTCTGTCTGTCTGTCTGTCTGTCTGGCGGTCTGTTTTGTCTGTCAATCTGTTCGTTTGTCTTTATTTAATAACCCCATTATATATATATATATTCACCCATTCACGTAATAAATTCGACGATACAGTCTTGACGCGGCTCGGCGAGCAAAAGAATCTATAACTTTGAAATATAGATTTTATTCTAGACGATGCTAAAATAATTAATATATTAACGCGAACGAGTTGACAATTGGTGAACTTTGCGAAGAATATTCAAACATATTAATTATCTCAAGAATAATAAAATCATCTCTAAGAAAAATAAAAGAAAAAGGTTATTGTATTGATTAATTAATTTGCAGGAACAAGAGTTAAATCTATATAAGGCAATATTCAAGCTCTGAATTTGTAAGATCTTGTACCTTGTTGAGGATTAAATTATATCTACAATTGAAACGTAAGCAAATTTTATCTCTGAGAAATGACATTCGCGAGCAAACTTTTTTACAATTATTATTAATTACATTTGGACCCGAAATAATTTTAATAATCGATCGAGCTACGGCCAAGGCTGCGTCTATCTAAGCACTCTATGATTTAGTTCCATCTCACTCGATATTATTTCTATATTACTCTCACTGTCACACGGCCAATGCTCTGGATATGTCGTATGCTGGATGGATTAATTGACTTACTTAATTGATTAACATTCAATTCATGTCGAATATATTAATTAAACGTTTATGCCCTTTCCGTACGGTACTACCTACACTATTATCGTTGCGATGTTGGTGTTGTTGTTTAATATATCTATATATACTCTAATCATTGTATTGATGTTGATGTTGTTGTTAATTTGATGTTTTTGATGTGTTGTTTAGTCGTTGTTATCTTGCTGTTTGTTTGATGTTTGCACTATGTTGTTGCACTTTGTGTGTCCATGTACACACTTACATACGTACATGTATATATCTTTTATCACGTATTATGCGTACACTTACTATCTATGTCATGCACAAAATAAATTGTGTACGCTATTCAAGAACTTTATACTATTTATACATTAAACAATTCGCAATTAAAATTAAAGACTCAATATAGTTGTAGTTTCTTTTAATAAGGATTTAACTCGTCTCATTCGAAATATATTGCAGCACCAAATGCGATAGAACTGCCGATAAACCGAGCCCTTATTAATTACAGTTATTGCATACGCAATCTATTTTGACTCACGTTATATTAAAATGTATTTTACAAACGTACATTTCATCCAGTCGGTCTCACGCTTGGAATGCATCATCCAATGCATATGTATATGTGTATGTATGTACGTCGATGAATATATAACATATATTATATATGTACAGAGTTCCAGAACTATCGTATCTTTTTCCATCTACAAATTCTTTGACGAATCTGAGGTCGATAACTACTCGGTGAAAATTTCACGGGATATCCGACTACGGAACTAATTAAAAGATTGCGACAAATTAAATATCAAGGCGTAAACAAATAGACACTAATTCTAAGCAAATTGCCGAGAAACTTTACTCTTGATTTGGCCGGTGGCCAAAGTATTGAATGTGCGGAATTAAGAGTTATGTCAACAGTGATTCCGTAAAATTTTCTCTAAGCAAAACGATTTCATAAATTCATCGAAGAATCTGTAATTGAAAGAAACTGCGACAGTTCCGGGACATAGTTTGTATCCACGGTATAAGCATCAAGATTTTATCAGTTCTCTGTGCGTCACTAAAACCACCCCCCTAACAAGCTCATGGTAACAACGACTTTTCTGTCCTTATCTAACTGTCCATGTATCTATCTATCTGTATATTTATGCGTGTATCAGTTACGAAACTGGGCTAAGCTACAATGTCGCCGAAAAGGTGGAACAGTACGGGGAGAGATTTACCCTAGCATTTTATTTTCATTAGCTCGATTATACTATTTCGCTGAAAATCTCTTTATACCTCGATATTTATAACTTATATTACGGCTTATCTCAATTTCGTGATTCGGTCTAAATACGCGTACATAATACATATGTAAGCGATTTCGAATGCGATTTATCATCGTAATTAAAAAAATCGATACGTCTATATTAAGCTAAGTTAAATAAAAATATAACGACAATTACTGCCAATTATTCAATTACATGAATGTCGATAACAGTCGAAATAATATCGAAAAGTAAGCGCGATAAACCCGGATAAAATAGATTCACAGTGAAGCGTGAGGTGAATTGGACGAAATAATTTCTCCTTCCGAAGAGTGATAGGTAAAAAATCATAATAAGGGGTCGCAATTTTAATGAAAAGAGCCGTTTCGCGTAGAAAGATCTAATATTTTGATTTCAAGAGACAGATAGGATTTTTTAAACAGGCCATGATAATACAAACGTTTCGTCCAGTTTCGATTAATAAAAACAAAAAGAAAGAGAAAAAAAAAATTTTTTTAAGCAAAATGTTTCCTTTTCGCTCGCGAAGGTAAGGAAAGAACGGTGTTAAGTTAAGGGGGTGGTTCGCCGTGACACTGAGATCATTAATCAGGTCAGATGATTATTCGGGATTGTGTTTCAGGATTGCATTCGCCTCACGAAGGACTAACCGGTGGCTCCGGTCAAAGCATGTCTGGGCTCGCTTACTATCAGCCGGAGCACCCCGGGTCAACGGGGGTGGTAAAGTACCCCGAGAACGGACACGACACTCTTTCGGATTTTGTGACGTTTGTTTGCCAAGAAGCCGAGAACACCCAACAACTATCTCAGGTAGTTGGTAAATTATACATACTTATAAATATTTAGAATAATTTTAGAATAACGCGAAGGTTGAGAGAATAGTCCGAGAAGATTGTTTCCGCCTGCGACATAAAATCTGCACCAGAAGGATAATAAATTATGCGAAGAATAAAAAAAAAAAAAACTGTAAATCTATTTTTAGGCGCAGCTAACTGGACCACGCACCGGTATACAAAAGTTCCCGCAATATTATCCGAGTTCAATGTTACCGCCGCCACCACCCGCTCCCATGGCCAGACCGGTGGCGATAATAAGATCGACGGGTGAGCTAGCAGCGACAACCGCCAGCTCGCCGCCAACATCTTCCACGTCGCCTACGGATCCGGCCGACTTAGGCCCTAATCAGGAACAGATGACCGCCGCGGCGGTCGGCCTCGTTGGTTCCGCTTGCCAGAATTCTGTCGAGTCCGCTGGACGGAAGAGTCCCGCCAGAATCCTCGTTACGCCACACACCAGCAGGGAATACACGTTTGCTCATTTTCATTCGCAACCGGGACAGGTATTCTCTTCCTTTTGTTCTTTCTTGTTCTCGATTCAATTTTATCTCAGAGTTATACGTATGCTTTTTGCCATTTCTTTCGTTTCATTTCGGAGAACATTCAATTTTTTTTTCTCTCTTGCATTATTTGATCTTGTCTTTTTCCAGCAAATCTTCACGTATCCGACCATCAGCTCGATGTCCGGAGTAATTTCGCCAACTAATCTGTCTCTATTCTCGTCTCCTGTCTCGGTTACGAGACCGGTGGCCACTCAAAGATCGGTCTCTAATGTCCCACCGCGTTGGAATACCGCACCGTTCATCAATTTGGAAGACGACTACAACATGATCGCGCCGATCATCGCTGGAACCACCAGTGAGCCACCAACTGCCATGGAGGAAGGTAAAGTCAAATTTCGTGTCTCCATCCACGTAAAACAGTGCTCGGAATTAGTTGCACATTTCGGGCCGATTCCCGAGACGACGCCTCCTGTTCCCCCACTACCGCCAGGCCGCTGGAGCCGGAGCGTTTTATATAAGAAATAGGCTGAGTTGTTGAGGCACCTCTCAGAAAATAGTAATATTTTCTTTGCTACATAAATAATGTTTATTTTCATTAATACATAATATATATATATATTTAATTATTAGTAAAATAACGATATTGTATTTCTTTCTCGCTTAAAATAAAAAATTCTCTTTTCAGAACGATATTTTCATCCTGTGCATACGAGCGGAGTAGTTGACAAAAATGGCAGTGGTAATCTAATAAGCAACGAACTCGGAGTGAACACAGATCCCTCGTCACATCATCATCAACAGCAGCAGTCACACCAACAATCCCATCAACAACAACAGCAGCAGCAACAGCAACAACAACAGCAAGCCCAACAGCAATCATCGCAACAGCAGCAGCAAGTGATGGCAGACAAATCCGGCGGCCCTAAATCCCCTCCGTGACAATGGAGTCTGAGAACGGAAAGTCTCGAGAGAATCGCGAACTCGCCGTGTTTGTCAGGATCGGGAATACTTAGTGTTGCGTATAATAATTATTCCGAAGTCGCGGCCGAGGCTGAATTCGAGAGTAATCAGGCAGTTACGTCTCGTATTCAATTACGTGATTTAAACTTGCGAAGAATAGAGTATCTAAGAGTTCGATCTTAATTTACCATATTACGGGGCACGCAGAAGAATAAGAGCGCTTTCCCAGAAATGTAATCGAGGAAAGAGGAAGTCCGTTGATTCGTATTTATCGGAATGGATTGGATATTATATATAAAGTTTCATATTGCGACAAAAAAAAACCTAACTAAGTATATAGTTCTTTTATAGCGTAGTTTACCGCGATAGAGTTTGCGACGCTTGGAATAGCCATAAGATAACGTCGCCGTGCATGCCTTATCCTGCTCGAGAACGGAGAATTGTCTACACGCGGTGTCGTGCAACAAAGACGGAAGAAGCGTTGTTCAAGACATAATGTAACGTATTTAGATAAAGCGACATATATAATTTCAAAGTTGATACGAACAGTCGGACGCGATGTGATTAATGTGCAATACTTATCGTTTGGTCTATTATGAACTGTGCAAATCGCGTTGGTATTGGTCGATACACGGTCCACGATCTACGGATAATGGCCTGAATCATTTTTCTTCTGCCTGTTTGACTCCCTCTCTCATATTTCTCTCTCTCTCTCTCTCTCTCTCTCTCTCTTCTCTCCTCCTCCTCCTCTCTCTCTCTCTCTC